ACAGTTACGAGAAAGTTATAGATGTAATTCAAATACATGTAAGATGTTATTCAAAACTTGTCAAGGCTCAAAATAAAAGCTTGTCAATGTTATTCCAAAGAAACATGTGTGTTCCTATTTCTTTTATCGTATGTTAACACCATTATGAAGTTGAGACGTCTTCTTCATTAAGTGTCGAAATATAAAAGGGCCCTCTTTTATAAAACTCATGTTTAAAACTATTTAGTCATGAGATTAACAGAAGCATTTTTTTAAGAGCAAAAATGCAAGCTATTTTGTAAGTCCTTAAAAAATAAAGGCAAGAATAGAATAAACAGAAGTCTAAGATAATAACATCAAAAGCTTCTTAAATACTTAAGATTAAGTGCGAACTTAATCAAAAAACTGTGAAATTGTTTATACAGAATCGCCCCATAAAAGACTTGGGGACTTGCGTTCTAAAAATAAACCCTTAGATGAAGCCAACACGATTTTCCAAAGAGGTACCTGCAGCAAAAACAAGATATTCAAAATAAATTTTCTAAGAAGATGTGGGAACTGAAGAAGAAGCATCAACAGCAACGGGCTCAACTTAGGCAGGAGCTTCAACGGCGACAACAGGCTCGACTTGAGTTAGGGCTTCAGCAGAGGTAGTTTCAACTTGGCTTGTAGCAGTGGGCTCGATTGGGCTTGAAGAAGATGCGATACCCACATGAACCTCAACCACGGGATCTTCAATCACAGGTGAAGGGAAGTCCTGCGGTTGCTGAGCTTGTTCTATGGTTTTATTGACCTTAGCTAATTCAGTCTCCAGGTCAAAAACTTTCTTGCCCAACTTCAAGTAGGGTATCACGACGGGAATTCAGAAAAGCCCAACTCACCTCGACGTCAAATTTTTCTTCAAGGATCTCATAATCCTTTTCCCAAGCAGCAACCTCACTTTTGAGCTCTTCATTCTCAGCCAAGGCAGAATTACAAGAAGTTTGAAGGGAAGCATGTGAGCTCTCTAAAGCACGTACCTTATCAATAGAAACTCGAAGTTCCTCTTGTGCCTGGGTGAGATTTTGCACAAGTTCCCCAGCATAAACCTCTTTTTGAACCAATAGAGCCTTTAATGCCCTATTCTCCTCGCTAGCCTTGGATAGCTGTTCAGAAAATGAAGACTCAAGGCGCTCCCTTTCCTTCTCTGCCTAACTCGATGAAGCCTTGATGACCCCCAACTCAGAAGTGAGTGCTCGTACTTGCTGTTCTAAGGTACTTCTTCTCTCTTGTAAATCCTCCATGTCGATTTGAGCGTTGTCAAACTGTTCCTTCCAGTTGTTTGCCTCCAACTGAGAATCACGTGCTACCTTCTCCAAGAGGGAGATTCTGCTCATCAGCTCAGTGCCAATAAGATTGGCCTACGTAAAAAAAGAGAAGTAAGAATCCCAAAGTCGAAATTTTTTACAGAATGGAGAAAAGTAGGAAAGAAAAATACCTTTAAAGTGGCATGCACTATGTCATTCATGAGAGTCAGGTTGCTATGGCTCTCAAGCTTTGCTTTTTCGATGGGGCCAATCAAAGGCTCGAGCCAAATATCAGTTTGACCGGACTTTCTCAAGAGGCTGTTGTTAGCAGGAACCTCAATGGTTACGCTCCTCATAGCAGTACTCCTACTTGAAGAGCCCACCTCCGTATGGTGAACGATAGGTGGAGGAATTGCCAAAGGAGGAGCGGTGGAAGAAGGAACAGAAGCAACAGTTGATGAAGGTAAAGAAGCAATCACAGGTACGGGAGATGAAAAGGAAGATAAGGGAAGCTCGTCTAGAACAGGTCCTAAGTTTCCACTACCAAAACCACTAACAAAAAGTTGATCGATAGACTCACGAGTGTCGTGAGGAGAGACGTCATCATCAGGAATGATAACTGGAGTAACAACAGGCTCGGAAAGAGACAGATGAGGGGAGACTTCAGCCTCGTCATCAGAGACGATACGTCTCCGGGCTCGTGGTCTCATCACCAGGGAGCCCTCATCTTCTTCCTCTGAATCTTCTTCCTCAGTAGCTTTTCTTTTTGAAGAACCCAAGAATATATCTTGGGCTGAAGAGGTACGAGTACTCAAAGAGTCACGAGAAGCTATGATTGCCTCTGCGGTGACTCCTCGAATAGCAAATCCTGATAAAAAGAAGGATAAAAGTTAGAACAAAGAAAATATTTATATACAGACAAGGTAAAATAGAAACTCTTACCATGAGTTTTTACTTTCCAACCGTAACGGTTGGAAAGGTTTTTCCACGACCTACCATCCATTGGAGCGGTCTTCAACAATTTTCCTACCCAACCATGGAAGTTGGGCACAGTCTCCATAACACCCATGGTTGCTGAGAGAAGAAAAAGAAGCGACATTAGAAAAGTTGATAAAGCTTGAAAGGAAAAGGCACGAGGAAGATTTAACACTTACGTGCAAAATTCCACTTCTCAGGGAAGGGAACGTTATTTTCACCCACCAAACCAGCAGTGGGGGCAGCAACAAACGGAGCATACCAGCCACGGTCTTTATCGTCCTCGGGGCTCACAAAAATCCTCTTGCTCCTGGCTGCTAGGGTAAACACGCCGTTGCGAAAAAGCCTGGGGAAATAGAGATGAATTAGGTGGGGAAAAGTAAATTCAACATCCGCCAGGTTAGTGAGGTGCCTCAAGCAGGCGACAGCCCTCCAAACAATCGGACCAATTTGACCCAAACACACGTTAAAAAAACGGCAAAAGTCTAGAATGACCGGGTCAATGGCCGGTTTAAACCCTAGAGTGAAAGGGTATGTGTAAACAAAAGAGAATCCGATTAAGTAAGAAGTGATCCTTTGATTTGGGTTAGGAATGATAATTGGAAAATCGTCACTCCAGTAACAATCCTTACGAATTATGGGAGTTAAAATATCTGTGATTTGAGTGGGGAAAGCGTCAGCACGATCTAAAGAGGCAACTTGGGTCCTGAGAGATTCTCTGTCATGGTGAAAAAAAATTTCTATTGGGACTATTTCTTCAACTAGAGGCTCACGAAGGGGCTCAGATGATTCTTTATTCCTAGAAGAAGATCTCTGAGAAAGGGAACCTCTAGTCCTAGAAGAGGGACCCGAGCTAGAAGAAGGAGTGGATGTGCTACCACGACGAGCAGACCCCAAGCTACGGAGTCTACCCCCTCTTCTATGCCTAATAGGAGCATTGGGGAAGTTATCTAAAATAGGGGTTCTCCTAGGGTTAGGGTTTAGTGAAGCCATGACAAAGAAGATTGAAGTAGAGCAGAAGAGAATAAGAGGTTTTTGAAGAATTAAAGTTTTTGACATGCTTTATGTGGTAAAAGACAAGTAAAGAAGTTATATTTATACTAATGGGTAACCGGCAAAAAGAAAAAGTACAATGATGGAAGAGCTATAATAATGATAACTGACACTTTGTGAATAGGGAAGCCGAAAAGAAAGCCTAAGAAAGTGCTGCAAAACTGAAGAACCAATAAGAGGATGACACGTGTCTAATGCATTAAATGGAAGTGATAATTGAAGCGTCGATTCTGTCAGAGCATTAATGGTGACAAAAATTCTCTTTTAAATGAATTCCACTTCCCAAATATTCAAACTGATGAATAAATGGAAAGTGGGGGGACTATCTGTATTGGGAAAAATTGTATTTTATATATATGGTGACGTGTCAGGACACGTGGATTGGTCAAATGGTCAATAAATCTCAATTAGACACGATTCAAAAATTGTAAAACAGACACGAGCAAAGAAGGAGGAAGAGGCACGGGACATCAGATAAGTAGCACGGCGCCCGTACCTATTTAAATCATTTATATCCGGGAGAAGGAATGAATCTGGTTATAAAAAAGCATGCAAATACAGCATTTAATGGGTATTAAATGCTGAGTTCGTTAAGAAATATTTATATTCAATGTAATGATTGTGTAACGTAGCATTCAATGTCTTTAATTATTCATAATAGCCTCATTATGATTTGGGCATAACGTACATTCTCAAAGGTACCTATAAAAAGGAGATATATGATCAGTTGTAAGGGACACGAAAAGCTATTGAAATATACATTGGCATCATTTGTTTTTCTTGATTATTATATTGCTACTCAGAATTATTTCCTTTTATTCATTTCTTTGATTATCATTAACCCGAGTTCTTCTAAATTCTAGCTTTGACTAAAATTCCATTTGTTGGTTAAACACTGAAAAGAAAGCCAAGAGAAATGCATAATAGAAATTCTTTTCATTTTTCTTTTTGCCTTTTTTAAGTGTTGAAGCAACTTGACATCCAAATTAAGGATGATATCGGGTACAGAAGTTTTTTTTTTTTTTTAACAACATTGCGATTGGAATTAAAAACTAGAAATTGAAGTTTTTTTTTTTTTAACAACATTGCGATTGGAATTAAAAACTAGAAATTGAACCAACAGATTTACAAGTGATAATAGAAAAATAGCCACAGTTTTCAAAAAGTAAAAAGTAATCGAAATTTAGCCACTTTTCATGTAAAGATAAATCTAAACGAAAACATTGTTCAAAATCCAGAAATTATTCCAGCATAATATACTGGAGTTTCAGTATAATATACTGAAGTTCCAACATAATGTAATGGTCCAGCATAATATGCTGGAAGTTCATACACATGTACTCCAATCTCCAATATATTATGTTAGAACTTTCCGTGTGTTGGAGTTCCAGCATAATATGCTGGAAGTTCATACACAGGTGCACCAATCTCAAGTATGTTATGCTGGAACTTTCCGTGTTTCAGCAAAATAGTGGCTATTTTTCAATGACTTTGCAAACACTGGCTATTTTTCGATTACCGATCCGAAAACTTGCTAGCCCGTGCTATTTTCACAGCAAATTCACTAAGGTATGAAACCCCCTTGACCATTGAGCTACACTTTTTGGCTGTATCAAGGGAATTCAAAATATAATATAAAGAGGTACAGATCAGTTGCCTTATTTATACAGTATAATTTTCGGCGAACCCCCGAAATATGCCCCTGCCACTAAGCTACAACAGACGGATATTTAATAAATAAGAAGTTCGATAAAGTTAGATAAGCACATCTTTGTTGAACCCTATCTACTGATAATGGCAATCAAAAAAAAAGGTGGTGTCCCCAAAGCATAAAGAACACCAAAAGCAATAAAATTTGCAATTTTGGAGGAAAACAAGAAAAGATCTAATTATGAAAAAATGGCTGAAGGTTTTATGGTTAGACTAACTCACTAACAAGCCTATGCTATTTGGTCTTCTTTCTAATTCTAGACTAGAATTGAACCTAATCCCAGGGTGTTGTTGGGCCAATGAACCAAATCATCCCAATTTTCAATACACTTGGGTTCCCCAATTTATTTGGGATTGACGCGTAGCTATTGTTGTACACAATAAAGCCACAAGGTCCACAAAGTCCACGGACGGCTAAATCAATAACCCAAATGATGTTGCCTTGAACATTGATACACGGATCGACAGTTGACATCCGACAACAGCAATGTCAAACAGAATGCAACTCTTAGGTCTCAATTTATGAACCTTAAACCTCATCTAACCATTTCTTCAATGCTAGATGAGCATGAACTGGGGCTTCCTCTCGTCTGCCTTGAGTTATAGGACTTACAGTTAGGGCATTTACGTGCAACAATATGGAAGTTAACCTCTGATGTTTCCCCACAGTCATTGCAGAGGATCCAAACCTGAATAATTGTCAAGGATATTCAAACATAAAAATAAGAGTATCATACTTATGTAAAATCAGAAAGGCAGACATGACTTTCTCTTACCATCTTGTTTTGATACATTTCAGGCATAGGTGTTGAAGCAACCTAGAATTAGAATACAGATGAAGTTAATCAGTGTGAAGAAAGAAGTTGTTGTCATGTGACCAGAAGGTCACGAGTTCAAGCTATGGAAATAGCCTCTTGTAGAAATACAGGGTAAGGCTGCATACAATAGACCTATGTGATCCGGCCATTCCCCAGACCCCGCGCATAGCGGGAGTTTACTGCACCGGGCTGCTCTTTAATCAGCGTGAAGAAAATATCTTGAAAATAATTTTAATCAGGTTGTCATACGAGTACCTCCTGGTCTAGTTTTTCCCAAACACGAGACATATCACAATATGATCTTGAGGAAACAGGACAAGAATACCTGTGTTCCCACATTGTTAAAACGACGGAGAATATTACAAAATCGGGAGAAGGATAAGGGTTTAGAAATCAGTATCCTTCAAAGGACTTAAAACATAGAAAACAGTATTAAATGAAAGCTTACTGGAAATGCTGTTCCATTTGCATCACACATTCCAGATGCATTGTGTGCCCACAAGGCAAGACAGTTATGTTCTTTGTAGTGTCAAAAACATACTGCACAAAGTGATACCAAAAACAAATAAATAAATAAATTGCCATTTCAATTGCACCTTCTTAAATTCCGTTTGTTTCTCAAATTTAGCACTTGCCTCAAAGCAAACCGGGCAATTATGGTGCATTGCCCTTTCTATGCAAATGTGTGATTCCTTCATCAGATTTGAATAACACCACTCTGAAAGCAGGAAAAAGGAAAGGTTAACAGATTTTCTGTTTCTGTAACTAGTCAACTAAGCAAAATACTAATGGTAGGAGTTTTTGTTGCAGAATAGGATTTCATTCATAAGGGTAAAGCATCTCACTCACCGCATCTGTCACAGTGAAAGAAATTATTGTCGCCACCAGTTCTGCAATTAAGTATTTGTGCAGGAAAACGACGAAAAAGATATATTAGACATGATTATAGCATATTCGAAAGGTAAAAAGATGGACGATGAGCAAGTAGTAAGTGCTAATATTGCACTGGTCTATAAAATAGAACAAACAACTCAATCAAGCATCTGAAGCATAGACAGGCCACCTCGACAGGAGGAGATTAGCGGTTGCTCACGATATTAGAACGAAAAGTAGATACCGCAACTCTACAAGTATTGACACTTGACAGCATCTACTTTTACACACCAATACTAACATGATCAGCCACAGCCCACAAGTAAACTCTAATGAATGAGATGAAGCATATATGGCTAATTAACGAACAAGTGTTTTGCCAAATCTTACTAAAGTTCCTCAGGAGAGATTTCAGATGAAATGTTTAATGACCGGGTCAATGTCTCAGATATTGTTGACTTTGTGTTCTTATGAACGGAAAATTTTAGTAACATGTATTGAAGAACTGGAAAATGATTAGTAAAATTTTAACCTGCAGATTCCACATTTATCACAGTGGTATTGATCCTTGGAAACCTGAAAATAGAAATTATCAAGATTAAGAATACGACATACAGTGAACCAAGAACGTTTGAGTAGAATGATTTTCAGAAACTTACATCATCATCAAAGAAGTTACATTTTTGAGCAATACTACTTCCCCATACAAACCCCACAATGAACACATGTTTGTTGAACCTAAAGCGCAATCAGGGTGAAAAACCAGTTTTAACCATGCTTCAACAAACATAAATATATAATGACTTGAATGAGTTATTAACTTTTAGGAAAACTCACATCCTGTTCTGTGTTGCACAATGAGCAAATGACCTGGAAAAAAAAACACATGGAGCTTAATTGTTGATATAGTCGACAAACTAGGAATGACAAACAAGAAAACCTAACTAAAAAAGTCATTCTCACAGCAAAAGTAAATTCAACCAATATGGCAGAGGAAACATAAACGACACAAATGAAACGTAATGGTTCCTCATTCAATTCTTTCTAATTTATTAGAAACGAGTATGAAGAGATTAATGATACTTTTTAACTTTTGAGTTGTTTTGCAGGATCGGTCGCCCAAGACTTTTGGTCGAAAGTAATAGGATCACTTCTTATGGAATCGTTAAGAAAGATTCTTGTTGGTCTCCACCAACCCAAAGATACTATTAACATGGTGTGGTATTGTCCGCTTTGGGCCAAGCTCGCACGGTTTTTCCCAGAAGGCCTCACACCATTAGGAATTCCCTAGACCTTATATGTAGATTCTCAATCTTTTCAGCTACCAATACGGACTTTGTTTGCACATCAACAATTCTGATCTAGTTCATTGCCTATTAGAAGTAGAAGACAATCTGGTGGTATATCAGTTAAATTTGGTTCCGAAAAACTATCACTCAATAAATCCAAGGGATTGATCACATACTCCTTATCTCACCTACTGCATTCTCAATTTGACAAAATTTCGACTGGCCAATAGGGAGTTTCCAAGTACAACCAAGTACTTGTTACTTCTTCGATTGTAATTTCTATCTTATTAGGTGCAGGCACTATTGCTTACATAGGTATGTAATAAAGAGATGAAACAAATAGAAAAAAAAATAGTTAGTACACCCTATTTACATAAGATAATCATCTGGTGACGAATTAAATAGTGTAACAACAAGAACAAGAACAGACCAAGTGAAATCCAGCAAGTGAGGTCTAGGGAAGGTATTGTGTACGCAGACCTTACCCCTACCCTGGGAGGTAGAGAGGTTGTTTCCGAAAGACCCTCAGCTCGAGAAGAATAGAAACAAGCAAATATCAACAACAAAAGCCAGAAAAATGATACCAACAATGTATGAACCGGAAAAATGGATGGAAGAAAGCGACAGCAATAGCAACAAGCAGTAACAATGACAAGGTACTAGAAAATCGAAGCGGAAATAGTAAAAAAAAACAGCAATGTAAGAATAGTAATTATCTATATGCAACTAAAGATAATAAATTCGATGAGAAATTCAGCAAGCTAAAGATATTAGTAGTTCCATAAGTATGAAACTACAAAGATCAGAACCTTCACATCCATAAAATTGAATCTTTATATAGCAGGAAAAGGTGGCATAAAAACTAACCCTTTTTATATCATGGCGAGGAACATCGTGCCGTTCGAGTGGACCAACTTCTAAGGAATTCTGCTCAAATTTGAAAGGAAAAAAAAATAAAACTTATAGCTGATTACAATTTACAACAAAAGATATAAAAACAAAATCTCTCTTTTTTGGGGTGAAAAGAAAAAATTTTAGACCTTTGAATCATTGTGGCAATGCCTGCAATCGAATATCTCATCACAACAGGGCGCTCTAATTTTGCATCTTCTTCTGTAATGCGAGCATCTAATAAACAGAAAAGAGAAGTTAACAAAATAATAAAACTTAAACTCGAATTTATTTAGATATTAAAATAATCAAGCATGAAAAAATACCCGTAATTCCCAGAACCTATTTCTGTCATAGATTTATCATCAGCCAATGAATGTGAAATTCCTTGTTCCTGAGAACCAGTTTCCATTTTCTTCACCAACTGATACTAAAATCAAAAAAAAATATTTTAAAAAAAGATATATAAATAAAACGCTGTGCTCCCAGGGAAGATTAGGGCTTTTAGTTGGAAAATCCCTGCGAACGTGCGTCTCCTTCGGAAGGACATTGTCTACGCTGAGAGGAACAAGGGCCTTCTCCGCCTTTTCCCCTTCACCACCAGAAGATGGCGGAACCCTAGACGGGGCATTATCCTTGGCCTTTTTATTATTCTGTCCGCGTTTTGTCATGATTATACTACTTGAGAAACGAAGCGCTGACGATAGGAAGTGTGGTTTCAACAGAAGTGGGAGAGTCCCTCACGAAATAACAGTTACAGGAAAGAAAGGCAAAGGAGTGTATCAGAAAATACTTTTCAGAGGCTTGAAAGTGGGATCAGATCAAACATCTCTCATACTTATAAGGATAAGTTGCACAGGAATCGAAGAGTCATGATTCAAAACGTGCGCCGGAAACCAAGACGTCACTTCATCCTCTGAACCGCCTCGGGGGCAAATATAATGATGATGCATACAGGCGATGACATCATTCCAAAAAGGAAGCCACGCGTCAGCGGCTCAACAACGTCATATATTTCACTTCATTAATATTGCCGCCCCTGGTCGAGGTCAAATTCTCCTAAGCCGAGGTTCGTATTTTCGCCCGTCGAAGACGCCCACCGAACGCGTCTCCAACGAGCGGAGGGACTAACTATATAGGGTCAAATTTGACCCTCAGTATCTCTACGCCAGTGGGTACGCCCAATGAGTGTACGCCGACCAACGTAGCGGGTACGACTCGGCCGTGAGGACAAAAGCGACATCGTTTAGAACTCAGCGTCTACACTAGGGAGACATTAACTATCTTTGTAACTTTTTGATTCTTTCGAGGAAGGTCTCCTATTATATAAAGGAGACCTCCACATTGTAAAAGGGGGATCTGATCTAATACAACTCTCTCATTTTTCTGGCTTTCTCTCTCTATATCTCTACCTCTAACGAAAATATCTTATTGGTAAACATTATCACTTTGCAATATCAGATCTACAACAATATTATCATCTTTGCATCTCTAGGCTTATTATATTTGATTACGATTTACCCCTTTTCTATTTTTGGTTGTTTTATCGCTTACAAAGTATATCGTTAACTTTTGAGCCAAACAATTTGGCGCCGTCTGTGGGGATTTCGAGAATCAAAACCATAGTATCCACCTAGAGATCAACCAACTACCACTCTCTACACCACACAAAAACAGAAAATGGCCGAAAATAACACAAGATCGAAAGCCATATTGGGTGTCACTACCAATCTCCTGGGCCCTCTCAACGAGGCCAGTGACGGTGGCATCCTGAATGCAACCCCTAGCATCACACCAGGTGCAGAGATCTCACCTTCCCCATCCGAAGGCCTGACGATCTTGCACGAAAAAGGAACTTCCACATCTGCGGCTACGGAAGCACCCTCAGCGGTCAAAGAGCTACTGGAAAGATGGCTAACAAGCACTCTAAGTGGCTTGGTTGAGAGGTCACCGCAAAGTAACATCGTATGTACACCAACGGTAGGTACCACTGCTGTCGTGGGTGAACCGGAAGCTACACTAGTAAATAACAGACCCATCGAAACACAGACCAACGATGGCACGCTAACAGCCATCCTAAAGAAGATGGAAGAAATGGAAAATGAAAACAAGGTGCTCCGCGGTCAGATGAAGGAACATCAGGAGAGGGTCGACAAGATCCCCGGTGCCCCCCAGTTGCTACCAAAACGCGGCGTGGGAAGGTTCGTTGAACAACCATACACCGAAGAAGCTGCTCCTCACTCCACCCCAAAAACCTTCAAGATGCCACCCTACTTAAGGGCATATGACGGAACCACAGATCCCGAGGATCATCTGATCCACTACGTCACCGCTGTTAAGGGCAACGACCTATCGAAAGAACAGGTACCGTCGGCACTGCTGAAGAAGTTTGGCGAGACGTTGACAGGAGGGGCCTTAACATGGTACTTTCAGCTACCGGCTAAGGCAATATCAACGTTCGAGGAAATGGCGGATAAATTCGTCACAGCCCATGCAGGCGCGAAGAAAGCGGAGGCCAGGGTCAACAACATCTTCGCCATCAGGCAAAACACAGGAGAAGGACTCAGGGACTTCCTGGCAAGGTTTAACAGGGTAAGGATGAGTCTACCAAACGTATCGGAAGGTATGGCAGTCGCCGCTTTCCAGAACGGGCTAAGCAGAGATGGTTCGAGGGCAACCAAGAAGCTGCTGAGCCGCCTCATGAAATATCCCCCTACCACATGGGAGGAAATCCACAACGCCTATTGCGCCGAGGTACGAGCGGACGAGGATGATCTTAATGGGCCGACCCAACGGCTAACAGCGATGCACTCAGAAACGAGGAGAGATCGACGGAACGAAGGACGACGAGAACAACTCCCCCGCTCCAACAGAGATCGACACCAGCCATACACCAGATCCTCCCATCCGCCACCAAGGCATATAGACGCACTACAGCGACACGTCGCCCCACTGCGAAACGAAAGAGGTACGCCCCCTTTATTAACTGCCCATAACTTTTGTGTATCTCCTTCAGAGATAGTGCACGCACTGGAGAAGCTAGGCACCAAGGTGCATTGGCCGCAGAAGATGAAATCAGACCCTGCCACAAGGAAATCGAATGCCCTATATGAGTTCCATCAGGAACGAGGACACAAAACTGAAGACTGCATAGGACTACGGCAAGAGGTTGTCAGGATGCTGAACCAGGGATACCTGAGGGAGCTACTCAGTGACAAAGGAAAAATCAACTTTGCACGCGGACGGGAACAACTCCACGGGCCGCTGAAGCCACCTTCCCCAGCGCGCACGATAAACATGATCGTCGGAGGCGGCGACGAATCACCGATCAATCACGTCAAGCTCGCCACCACACACAGACTAAAGTGGACCAACGCCCATGAACGGTATGAGGACTTCGAAGATTGTATCACCTTCGATAAGTCTGATGCCGACGGTTTGTCTTTCCCTCATTATGATGCTTTAGTTATCACTTTACGTATCGCTGATACGGATGTTAAAAGAGTCATGATCGATGACGAAAGTGGCGTCTGTATTATCCACACAAGGGTCCTCATACAAATGGGACTCGAGGATAAGGTAATACCGCGCTGCATAACACTAACCGGTTTTAACAATGCAGTGGAACGGACGTCCGGAGAAATAGCACTGCCCGTCTTAGCGGGAGGAGTCACGCTGGAAACAACTTTCCACGTGATGAACCAAGAAGCGGCGTACAACGTCATCATAGGACGCCCGTGGATACACACCATGCGAGCGGTCCCTTCAAGCCTCTACCAAGTGATCAAATTCCCTACCCCATGGGGAGTATTCAGTATTCGAGGCGAGCCACGCACCGCACAAGAATGCTACAAAATAGCCCAAGACTGCGCCCACACCCAACAGCTAAAGGGGGCGAGCGCGGAGGCATAGCAATTAGCCGTGTCGGGAACTAAGGTCAACCCGACAACGGACGTCATCAAAGACCCCGACGTCGTGGAAGCCTGTAAAGCAACGGTCGAAGACCTCAACCCAGTCCAATTGGACAAAACCGATCCTACGAAGAAAGCCTATATCGGGCAAGGTCTCGCCAACCCAAGTAAGTATTGTGAATTCTTAACTAACCATGCAGATTTGTTCGCCTTTTCCCATTCAGATATGACGGGAATCCCGCGAGACATCGCCACCCACAAGATGAATGTCGATCCATTACATCCGCCCGTGCGACAGATGAGGAGAAAATTCAACGCCGCCATTAATGAAGCGGTCGGTAAGGAAGTAGACGAGCTACTGGCCAACGGCTCCATCAGAGAATCAAAGTATCCCGAGTGGGTCGCCAATGTTGTCATGGTCAAAAAGAAAAACGGGAAGTGGAGAATGTGTGTGGATTTCACCGATCTGAACAAGGCATGCCCAAAAGATTCATTCCCACTACCCCACATCGACCAACTGATCGACGCCACTGCAGGACATGAACTACTGAGCTTCTTAGA